GCCCCTCCCTGAGCCTGGTTTCTTCCTGTTAAAAGGGAGTTTTTCCTTCCCACTGTCGCCAAAACACATGCTTATAGGTATGATGGTTTGGGTTTTCTCTGCTGTATTATTGTAGGGTCTACCTTACAATATAAAGCGCCTTGAGGCGACTGTTGTTGTGATTTGCTGCTGTAAGTCCAAATAAAATTTTACAGTTTTAACATTAAAAATAAACTGACTGTCATAGTGGAAAAAAGCAACAAAGAAACAGCCTGGAGCAAGGAAAGGTCCCTGCAGCTCCTACTTTGATTCTAAAAACGTGATGAAGGAGGAAATCACAACAGTTTCTGAAAGACGAGCAGTCTAATTGTTTCCAAATGTGAATCACTGTGTTAAACTGAAAATTCCATTTGGCCAAAATACGCACTACCCTGCTGGCGTGTCAGGGTCGACAACAATACACTGGACATGCCAATTTCATCCAAGTACAAGCAGAACCATCAAAGCCATAAAAAGATTCAATCTACTTTCTTTTGAAACCTTTCTGCCCCTGTGTTGGTCTCCCAGCAGTTTATGCATGTTATCAAATGACTGCCGGGCAATGCTATGAAAACACAAGGAATAGCCCATGTACAGCAGTGCACAGGCACGTGGTATTTACTTCTTACTTCACTCACAGAGATAAAATCCTCCTATAGCTTTATATTCTTGATAGCTTTGCTTAACTAAGAATATTTTCCTAAAAATATGCATTTTCTGAATCTAAAACACCCCGAGCCTGAACTGCAGCACAGTGCCAGTGAGTACAGACACCTGCCTGCCAAATAACCAGACTGCAGCCAAAAATCTGGACATTATCATTCATTAGTTACAGCTGAGATTTTTCTTCAAACCACCAAAATATTACATCAATTTGCTGACCGTAAATGTGCTTGTGATGTCGAGAGGTTGGTGTTTAGTCCAAGCTAAGCTGCATGTTCAGTGTAAAGCCACCAGATTCATCATCTAAGCATGACTTAAGTCCAACACATGCGAGCGCACATCTGTGAAAGACTGCTGAAAGCAAAGCTTTTGCAATTAGAGCATGTCATTACTAAAATAACATTTATTTTAGGAATTTAAATACTTATCTCCCCACTCCTGAATCTCAACCTTTCATCCTGTCACATTAAATGTTTGTGCAAAAGTTACTGTGATAAGACTGAACTAAATTACATTCAGACCTGACAGGAAACTGTTTCTCCAGCATACAAATTATCTTCTGCAAACACCATCTGCAGCACGCAGATTTCAGCCGAAACGTAAAAGATAATCTTCTACCTGTGTGTCAACAAGTTTCCACCACCATGACTCTTTTAGTGTTAGCGCTCTGTTTTTTCCAAATCCTTACCCTCTCTAATCTCAGACTTTTCTTCTTCGTACCCATCGCTCGTAACGCTTACCTGGCAATGTCTGATGAAGAGCGCGGCTACTATGAAGCTCAGGACCAGTGATCCCAGTATCATGGAGTTACAGAACTGGAGGAACCACACGCTCAGCAGGCTGCTCACTTGAACGAGGTACAGCGTAGTCACCTGGAGAAACACACCAACAACGTAAAGAAGAAGCGAGTGAGTGTTGACTTGACAGCCTGGTCCAAAAGTGGACCAATGAAAGAAGACTGTAGACTGTGTGTTTGGTTGAAATCATTTGCTTTTAAATAAAACAGCAGCATGCTATGGATTCTAACAAGTTTGCAAAAAAAATCAAAGAACATATTAATATTATAAAGACATTATTATCTCATCCTTAAAGAGCACCTCACACTCCGACTGCCGACTTATTTGTGACAGATAGAATTTCCAAAAGAATGGGAGTTAGAGCCTTCAGATATCTGAATTCTCATTTGGACTCAGGAGACAGACACCCTCTGATAAAAATGACAAAGCTTCTGTTTAAGGCTGGATCAGGTGACCCTGACCCATCCCTTACTTTTGCTGCTGGAGGCCTTCCTGTGACGCACTGAGCATTTATTTTCCACTCTTCTCATTTCCCTCCTGGTGTATCCTTTTCACTGCTGTCACAGTTCTTTTAGCCCGTCCTTTATTTCCGAAGCAGCAGATACATCTGTGTATTTGATTTGGCAAAGAGTTCACACTGGATTCACTTCCTGATGTAACCCTCCCATTTAAACTGGCCTCCCATTAGATCCTGTGGCCCCCTGAGGTTGGGTTTGTGTTTCCTCTCAGAATTAAAACAGGAATCTGTCCTAAATCACACGTTAGATGAATGTGTCAACCACTACACCTTGTTCTGCCAGTTAAAAACTAGCCACCAGCCACCGTACTCGACACACTCTTTAAATAATGACGGGGCCAACATGAGGCTTGGGGAATGCTAGCAAGTAAAGGCCACACAGTATACCGAGGCTACATCAGCCCAGACGTAAAATGAATGTTAACCTACCACAAATATCTAGAAAGGTGTAGCAATAGAAAAGTTGGAGGATGAAAAACTTGCACAGCTTTGGCTCCGCTCTCCTCTCTGAGTTTTTGAAGCTAATTGACCTGGTGATGCAGAAACTGGCATAAACCTTGAAGCCAACAAAACAACATGCATCCATGGAGCTGGTCACCTCAGACATCTCCTGCCTCTAACATATCAATCAGCCAAGAATAGGACCACCATCCTGACTGAGCTAACCATGTCACAGAAGGAAATTGGAAGGAAGAGATGCACATATGGAGACCTGCATGTTAGTGGAGTGTCACGAGTTAAGTTAAAGGCCAGAAAGCAGCTGACAGAGAACACAGAGGAGAAACACAATGTGGTCTCAGAGCCAGCTGGAGGGATAATAGGGTGATGTCCCTGCTGCTGCCCGTCCACTTGGAGATGTTCTGGAAACAAGGCTGAAAACACTGCTTTCCTCAACTGTGCAAGACTCGCACGGCCTCTTGCAGACCACATGTATCTGAAAATATCCCAGACACGAATGGATGTAGCCTAAATATTATTTAATAGTTATTTGCACATTTGGATGTTAAAAAGAAGAGGGTGGAGGAAACACGTGTGCAAGAGGTAACTAACACCAGCACCTCCATGCAAGCCAAAATGGTACGGTAAGTCAGAAAGTCAGCAGAACTTTGTGAGAAACACGACTTTTTTCCAGTTGCACTCTCTCTCTGTGTGCTGGCAACAGCAGCAGCAGCAGCAGCAGCTCTGTCTCTATGAATACCACACGCAGAGGTATGCAGCATGCTCCGGGCCTAACACAGCAAAACATCAGTGAGAAGTGGCTTCCAGCTGGTGACCTTACAGCAGGCCCTAGGCCACCACCTGAGATTCAACGAGCAGGAACGCTCCGTAGGAGTTCCAGCTACCTGTACAACTACCTGAGTTAAGCTGCATAAAAGTAAAGCTGTGGGATACGTTTTAAAACACAAGATAAAACAAACAAAAATACACCTGGTGTGTTGGAATAAATGTTCCACTTATTGTTCTTTTTCTTACAAACAAAGGAAGAATTCCAATTTCAGTTGGACATCATGGTTTTTTTCATGAGGTGAGCGCCAAATCAAATCAAATCTACTCACCTCCACTGCACACGAGTGAAAATGTATAAGAGAGGAATAGTTTGAGCAAATAAGACGGAAACTATCTGCATTGCAAACACAGCTGCGAGCAAGTGAGGAATAGAAAATTCTGGTGTTTGTAAAGTGCATGAACATGTGTCTGTCCTTCCAACGCTCAGGAATAGATTCCCGGGAAAGTAACACTTCTTGTTTTCCAATCAATGCAAGTGTTTTGATTATTTGAGCTTCTCTTCACCTTTTCTCACCTCTCATGATGCAAAACCTGACCTTAAACTCAATCTAACCCCAACAACTCTGTTATCTCTGCCTACACTTCAGTCTTTAGATAACATATCTACTATGAGTACAGAAAGAGCTCAATATGATACGGCTACTGAGTCTCACTAACTCAGCTCTGCAACAAATTACTTGCAGACCGAAAGGATTTTTCTCATAGCTCATGTTGGGTTCAATATTGAGGAGGGGTAGAGGAGGTAATCAACTTACATAATAACAACACTGGTCCGGCCGGGTGGAGTCAAACGATGATTTTAATGACACGCGTGGGAAGACCGCCACTGTACGCAGACAGCGCCGATCCCCAACTTACAGAGCATAAGCAGGTGTTTTATACCTTCTGGGCTTAAATTTACTACACCCCTAAACGTCACTCAGATACAGTTCATACATAGGTTTCAAAACCACAATGACTTAAGACAGTCTAAAATAACATTGTCTCCGTCTCCACAGCAGATGCTTGCTGTCAACATTCTGACTTTCACTTCCCGTCTGGAAAACCAGACCCACACCCTGCAAGAAACTGTTCCTCTTTTTGCAGAGACAATTTTAGAGTTGCAAGCAAACATGATTAACCTCTCACCTATAAATGAGATAGTCTACTGTGTGTTTGTCAGCATGAACTGCACTCAGTTTCAACTTGTAACCTTTTCCACCAGACAGAAGGCCAGCACATACACATTTCAGATTATAACAAGCATTCAAAAACATTTAAGATTATAGATTCAACTCAACAGTTTAGAGTGGTTATAACTGCACCTGTAGTAAAGGCTAATTGGGTACCAATATGTTTAAACATCTGAATACAATATCAATACTGCAGATTGTATTATTAATGCAATGGTAATGATGATGATAATTAACAATAGCAGTAAAATAATTTCTAATTGCTCACACTCAACAATGGAAAAACAGACAATTGTTGCCAGGACACCTAAAGTCAGCTGTTACACTTTATAATATATTAGTGTTTAATTCAATTCAATTCAATTTTATTTATATAGCGCCAAATCACAACAAATGTCGCCTCAAGGCGCTTCATAGATACAGAGAAAATATTTAATATATGTCAAATTTTTTAGCACCTATAAAAGCTCAGTGCCACTGATTGGGACACATGAAACTATAACCAGAAGCTAGAAACCTATGAATATCTGGTCCTTCTTACCTGTGTAGTTGTTAAGAAGTCACCGCAGTCCAGGGTGTAAATGACGAGAGCCTGAACCAGTAGAATGAACTGGTTGAACTGCCAGGTCAGACAGAAACAGAACGTCGTCACATACATCAGCCACACCATCACTTTCTGAGGAGGAAACACAAACATACGCGCGCACAGGGTTAGACGATTAATCTGCATAACTACAGCCATGCTGCCTGATCACATTTCTTCTGTGCTGCTTGTACTACTAAATTATTGAGTGGCTCGCCCCATCAGGCTGATCTATGTGGCGAGGTTGGGCTATAGCTCTGCGCTTACCTGCTGTAATGTGGTGAGCTGGGGTCTGAGGTAACAGGTGATAGCCGTGACCTGCAGCGCGAAGAAGGGCAAAGACCAGTTCTCTCTGAGGGAGATGGTGAACTCTACACGAGTAGTATCTACCCTGAAAGGAGAATGATTGATGAAGCGATGGAGAGATGGTGTTAAACCGTTTCAGCTAAACACCGTGAAGGAAACCTAACAGAAGTCTGGAACTTCTGGTGGTTTGAGAAAAAGATAAAAAAATTAAATCCTGAGATCATGGCGGCAGTTTTCAAAGCGCTCTGGGGTTGTACGGCGTTTACAGCTCCAAATGGACAGCAGAGAAAACGCCAGGAGGGTTTTTGAGACTGTTTAAACTTTAGTGCACTTCCAACAGTACAGAAAAGTAGGCAAAACCCACACACCAGTAACACAAACTAACAAAAGAAGAATTAGATCTGCTTGTCCCGTACATGCACTGTGTCTGTTTGGTTTGTCAGTGGATTAGCTACACAACCTGGAAGGTCCACTAGCAACCAACTTTCAGCTACGAAGAAAAGTGCTTTATTTATGGACAGTCAGTCACGTCTTCTACTCACTTTACCCTCATTCTCATGATACGCACCAAGCAGACATGAGTGAGCACCTGTGCAACATCTGTGTGAATTTAAAGCCTTTATTTTCCTATAATAATAATATCTATATATATTTGACACATTCGTATTTTAAAAAAAGCAACTACTGAATCAATATTCACGATGGACTGACAAATTATGGCCTACACATAGACTGTATACAAAAGATTCAATTCAATTCAATTTTATTTATATAGCGCCAAATCACAAAAAAAGTCGCCTCAAGGCGCTTCATAGATACAGAGAAAAACCCAACAATCATATGACCCCCTATGAGCAGCACTTTGGTGACAGTGGGAAGGAAAAACTCCCTTTTAACAGGAAGAAACCTCCAGCAGAACCAGGCTCAGGGAGGGGCGGGGCCATCTGCTGCGACCGGTTGGGGTGAGAGAAGATGCACAGAGCCCATAGGTTTCCAGATTCCAGGGGTTTGAAAAAGAAGTCTGATTATACTGATGACTATGAGTGCATTCATTCTCAAATGATAGCTTAATTTTTATTACACTTAATTTAATTTTAGTGTTAATTGCTACTTTTAAGTCTTTGTTCATATAGCAGGGATTTTAATTTTGACATTAAATTCTCATTTAGACTGAAATAGTCCACAAAGTAGAGTTCAGAGTGGTTCAAAGCTTGGCTGCGTGGTGACTGAGAAGTTGGTGAGTGTGCACTGAGCTAATCACCCCCTCGATCAACAAATTAAACAACTAACTAAAGAAATTAGGAAAATAAAATTTGTTCTTGAAATGCTTAAAAACACTCAGGGAAATTAAAAACTCTCCTGGAAACTTTTCTTTGACCAATAACGCCAAATATGTCAGAGGCCACATGATGTCACTGACATAACTTAATGTTTGAAATCTCTCACCGCTGAGAATTTTGGTTGTTTTCCACCACTCTGGTGTTTTTGTAGGCCAGCTTGAAGGCCGTCTATTAGGCACAACCAGCTGGTAGGAAGCTAAAAACAAGGATGATTATATTTGTCAATATTCCAGCTCTGTTAAGAAGTCCGCTGCTGATGTGCCGTGCATCTAACACAGTGTTTAAAACTCTGCTCACACTACAGTAAAGAGCAGAAGTTTAGAGGAGACTCTGCGGGACACGACTCTCACATAACCTGAAATTTCTTAAGCTTTTCTGACCCTTCGTGCTCACACCGCTGCTAAAAATCATGTGTGACTAACCAGATTATTGATGTTTCCTGCAAACATCTGTGTAGTATGACCCCCACTGATCATTTGCATAATGTATATGCTCAGATGCTGAAGTCACTGATCTAAGAATTTAAGACGATAGATGCTTCAAGCTAACAAACACCCACGGTTTGGGATTTACAGCCCATCACTTCTAAATCCAGACGATTGGTCTGAAGTGAATGCAAAATACGCACTTAAGTCTTCTCTTCCATCTGTGGGAGATTTTTAACTGAAACCTAGTAGAATGTACTCTGCTACACAAGGTTTATATATATATATAACATAAACAATGAGACCTTCCCATCTCTCTCGGTTGCCTTTCACAGCCTGTGGATTGATTTGCACAGTATGTGAGACACTCGGGATAAATATTCCACAAAAATACAAATAATGTGACATTTATGCTCACTCCCAAGTGGCGGTCCAGCGTCTCAGCATCAACAGTGAGCAACACAAAGCAATCGCTTAAGTTTACTTCAATGTCAACAAACGAGTTGTTCAGACCAAAAAAAATGATTTTAACTTCACATAAGGAAAGAAAAGAAAAAACTTTTGGGGCTTTAGATGGCATTTCACTACTGACAGCATATGTGAAGAAACAAATGAGCTACTGCTTTCAGCATTCAACAATGTGTCATGATTAAGTAGGCGGGTAAGCCAAGATCAGCTAAGATTAGCTAGAAGAAACCCATCTAATAAAGGATCAACATCAGCAGGGAATTGGACTCACAGAGAGCTTCATCCAAACTCAAGGAGGGGAGCAAACCTACTTTGTCAACTTAACCAACTAACCATCACCAGGTGGCTAAAGCCTCAGTCACACTTAGTCATGTGAAGCTAAAAGTTACATAGTACTGACTTTTTTAACCCTCTTAATTCAAGAGCATAATCCTAGCTATGGTGGTCGCTGTAGGACAAACATGTTGTGGTCACCTAAGAGTGATGCTAGGTGTCAATGAGTCAGTAACATCCCTTCTTACCAATGACACTGATATTGAGGTGTGTTTCTGAGAATAGCATACCTGTCAGTAAGGCTTCTGTTTTTGCCAACGTTACTAGCTGTTATTAGCCGCTGTTATTAGCCGCTGTTATTAGCCGCTGTTATTAGCCGCTGTTGTTAGCTACTGTTAGCCGCTGTTAGCTACTGCTGTTAACTGCTGTTAGCGGATGCTGTTAGCGGATGCTGTTAGCTGCTGCTGTTAGCTGCTGCTGTTAGCTGCTGCTGTTAGCGGATGCTGTTAGCGGATGCTGTTAGCGGATGCTGTTAGCGGATGCTGTTAGCGGATGCTAGCTACTGTTTGATGTCTTTTAAGTAGATATAATATGGTGAATAAACTTTCAGATGATGTCAGAATGTAATCAAACTGTGATTTTTAGGACTTTCAAGCCTAACGTTAGCTAGGATGATGTTAGCTTATAAACAGCTGCTGCTTTTTGTTGTTTGGGTGGTTCGTTTATGAAAACATCAATTTGTTGAAAGATATAAATACACACTAATCTATTTATATTTATCAGTACAATATATTTTCTTTGTGTTACCTAACCTCAAAAAAAATTACCAACTGCACCTTTAAAAGTTGATCCATAAAAGAAATTTTAAAAAAAGGACACTTTGTTATATTGAGAGAAAAACTGCCATGACAGAGTCAAGAAAGGAACTAACTCTCTCCTCCTTCACTGTGTCACGCACACAGATAGTTATTACTCACCTGTTAAGGATGTACCAGACCCCGGTGAGCGCACCAGCAAGCCAGGAGCCAGACAGAAGCCACGCTGTGAGGTACAAAGCGATCACATACACAGCTTGGAGCGAGAACACTGTGTAAATGTAAAAGTACACGGGCTCCAAATATGACTGGGCCACACACACAAAAACACAGACACACACATACACAAAGGGAAGCCATTAGTTCATTAGGCAGCGCGATTGAATGCACAGAGTTGACAACAGTGACAGCGACTGACTCGGGCACTCGAGAACACTGTGGCATTTTCAAAGTTGTGTCTGATATTTCACTCCCTGACATTCTTGTCTCTCGGCGAGACAGCTGATGAAGCTTAGTCGCGGTTTCTCGGTTAATTGTTATGCCAATACAGAAACCTTTTCCTCCAGTGTGACAAGTGTAAGGGCTCCGAGTCATGTCAGCTAAAAAGACAGAAAAACAAAGGAATGCCACTGCGCCTCAAACACCTTCTCCTCATTTGACTACGATCATTACAGTAATAAAGCCAAAAGAAAATACATTTTTCAAAACACTGGAGAGTGACTTTACTTTCTCCCCCCACCCCTACACATAAAAAGGATGTGTTAATTAACAGAACAAATGACAAAAGTCCCAGACAGTCTAGCTGGTGTAGCTGAGGTCTTTAATCTTTTGTGTGTTACCAGCCGAGATGACAGGTGAGTGTTGTATTACCTGTATGGGCAACAATCTGTAGAGAACACTGAGAAAGACCTCTTGGTAGATATTCATTCGCTGCAAGAGGTTAATGGTCCTCTTGGATTCTGTCAAGTTGTCATGGATCATTTCTTTGAGCCCTGCAAACACAAAATTCACACACACAAACACACCATTTGAAAAATGCCACCAGTTCTTTAATTTTTTTTTTTACAAACTGATAATTATTATTGGCTTTATGACAGCCAGGGAGGAAGGGGTGTTAATGTTTCTCGAAGCTCACCTGGCTCATTTATTTAGCTCAGACTCGTGCCATTAGAGAAAAACAACAGGGTCGGAAATTTGTATCAACCACTAAAAACACAGCGCATTGCTCAAAGCACGCTCGGAACGCTTCAAACTTCACTTCATTTCCTGAATTTTAGCAAACTAAATGTAGTTTGTTCCGTTTTTCTCCAAAAGAAATTCCCTAAATGACCCAAACATCAATCTAATAAATAAAGCATGTGAAAATTTCCTGCAGTGCTTTATTGGAGATGGGTTGTGGGGCAACTTCATCCCCCATGAAATAATAAAAACAACCTTTGAGGGGAAAAAAGATTTTTGGTTTAAAACATTAAAAATGTAACAAATGCGCCCTGTGTACAGACGGGTGTGTCCTCACCGCAGAGGCCTGGATCCTAGTCAGCTCTCATCTCACCGCCAAATAAAACGGCAAAAAGCCAAAAATATAAATCTTCTTTTTAAGCGGATTGTTGATTTGGCAACTCTTAAAGTTTTTGTTATTTCTCGGATACGTTGATTTAGGTTTCTCAACCTTCTTCATTTGCATCGACATCTCTTTGGACCTTAAATTGAGACTTAATGGCCAAGACCACGCACCTCGTCTGTGCATGAAGATGAAAAATGTGTCATTTGTGACAGAACTATTCAATTTATAAGCATTCTGCTTATAAATTGTTTCCACTAACTCAGTAATAAAAACACAAAAGCACTTGTGCATCTTTACAAAGCACATCATGACAAAGTGACCCAGTTTTACAAACTGCACCTTTAAGGACTGCTGGATTTTCACTGTATGTAACCGATCGATTTCCTCTGACTCTGAGTGTGTGGCTGATGTGGCTCATAAATACAAACCCACAGAGCGTTATCATCACCTCTGCTTTAGTGCATTTCAAGTGCTCTTGCTTTTTGGGCTTGATGGTCTGCAGCTTTACTGTTTCAGTCCACTCTCACCTCCCGTCAGTGCGGTTTTCAGCAGACAAAGACGGGCAAAGTTAATGACTAGCTGTGGAACATAGAGGAGCTCTTTTTACAGCCAGATATTTTGCTGTGATGCTGGTGGGAACACATCAAAGAGGAAAAGAAGGTAAATATTGGACTTAGATTTGCTAAGCTGCCAAAAACATTACTCCAAATGAATGCTCATGTGGGATGCTGGATGTGTCAAAGGGGAAATATTTAAAAGGACATATTACATCATTGTTTTGCACACAGCTGGTTTCTTCTCCATTAAATGGGGGGGGAAAAAGCCTCTGTTTTCCAGTAATTGAGGTTTAAACTATAATTCAGGTTTATTACTACTTAGCTGCCAAGGGCATCAAAAGTGGAGAGGCAAGGGGCCCTCGTCTCCCCTCACTTTATGCCCCACTCTCACATCCTTCAGAAAGATTTAAAGTTTAGGTCTTCTTGCTCATTTTTAACCAAATTTTTTTTCCCCATGCTTTAGCAGGTCAGACGCGCCCCACTAATATTTGTTTTTTGGGTATTTTTATTGTGGACTCACCACACGATTTAAAGTTACTGTACTACATTACCTCTGCACATTTTAAATTCATCTTTAGACTGCTGGGAATGGCGAAGCTCCTCGGTTCATCCACTGACTGGAATGAGCCGTTTTTGCTCCTCCCCCGTTAAACCAACTTTCTCTTTCTACTGATTGGCTGCCTCACTTAAAAAATTATAGAAGGCAAATGGGTGGGCGGGGCTTCCTGGCACAGGCAACGTAAGACGACCGTATTAGGTATATCCCCTGTAGCTGACGCTGAAATGTTTGTGTGGGTTGCCATGACAACTCCAGAAGCGCGTCTGAGATCGTTATATTGCTTTCTATTTGTTTTCCTTATTTGCTACTCATGCTTGTGTACATTTGCAGTAGGAAAATATAATCTACGAATCCAGTGATATATCCTTCTTATAAGAAATGTTTCTGTTAAAATATTATTGTGAAGTAGTCACTTCCTGTGAGTTGCGGGAACCGGAAGTTGTGCGCGGGAGAGACAAGACAGAACGGTAACACGGCGGACTTTTCGGAATGTACAACTTTTCTACTGCTGGCTTTACAAGGCGTACACGGTAAAAATCATTACGCTGTTATTTTTTTAACACTTGTGCACTTTGTGAAACGAAATAAGTGGCTGAGATGAATATCATATGTGCTATTGATATTATTTTACTTGTTTCTAGTTTTCACGGTGCTCCATGATTGTGAGAGGAATAAAAGAATTGTGGACATCAGTACGAAGCGTGGATTCTTTCGACCAGAGTAGATACATCCCCGCTCCATGACATGACATCATACATATTCAAGAGAAGAAACATAGACCTATTTATGAGGGGCAGCCAATCAGAAGAAAGCTGGTTGAACAGGAAGGGAAGTAATCTGGCTTCTTTCAGACAGAAAAAAAAAAGTACAACATAATTAATAATTATTTATACTCTAGTGAAAGTAAAAGCTCCACTTTAACATGAAAAACTCAAAGGGAATACACCTGGAATGATCTTTCATTATATACCTGGATCACTAATACCACCACAGGAGGTCAGAATGAAAGCACAAAGTGTTGGTGATTATGTTAGGCTGTGTCTTGTTCTTTTTTCCTCTTCCAAATGAGATCGACAAAGTGGTGTTTTGTCTCTTGCCTCACCTGACTTTTAAAGCTATGCTGCTACATGTTCTAAATCGCTTTGGTCCAATGGCATTATTACAGAAGGGAATGATAACGAGAATTACCAAAATAACACTAACATATAAAAAAGAATGACATTGTAACATTATTCTGTCACAGAAAACACTGCTGCTGGTGTTATATGAGCTGATGCGCGCACTGATAGCATTAATCCATATTGGTTACTCCATGCAGTATCATCACCATGTACTGGGTTTGACTGAAACAAAGTGTGACATGGAGCGAGGAGCGAGGGCTGACTTTCTGCTGCAGGCTGGGATGTGTCAGCCTGATTTCCGCTGTGTTCTTGATCCATGGAAAACCATAAAAACCAGCACGGTTTTGCATAAACAAAGTGCACATTACCACCCACACGCATGACCCACTCGACTTTGTTCATTCATTTACGGCATCATGCCTTTCTTTTTCCACCTGACTCTGTATCCTGCCTTGCTCGCTCATCTGGATTCTTTCTCCTATTTTAGCTCATTTATTCATCACATCTTTCCTCCTTTTCTTTCATTTCTTGCCTTTTCAATTATTGCTTCCTTTCTCACTTTCTTCCTATGCCCATCCCTATCATTTCCCACTTCTTCCATTACCTGCCGTCACTTCAGCGCTTCATCCCTAACACCAAAAACCTACTGTAGTTTGTGCATAACGAGCTGCTGTGCTGTGACAGAAAAACAAAGGAACATAGAAAGGGACGGGAAGGGAGGTCAACCAGTTCCTCAACTGATTAGACTACAGCTCAATTATTTGCCTTAGTGGAAAATTAGGCACATTTCCAACAAGGAATTTTACATGGTAATGGGAACAAAATAATTAGGCTAATTTCCCTCAGACCGGACTGTGCATCATGAGAAAAGTGCAGTGATTTGTTTGCTTGGGTGGAAATAATGAAGTGAAAAACAGTTTTTCCTTACAAGTATGGATAGAGAGAGCCACCTGGTGTTGGCAACCGTGTACAAAGGAAGGTGCTAACAAAAGCTAGCTTCCTAAATCAAGAAGTTACAGGAAAAACTGTAGGTCCCGGGTGATGCTATGGTGTAGTGACACAAGACTCGGCGGTATCGACCACGGCAGCACGGCACTGGTTACCGCCATTTCAGACAGTTTATTTCTAGACAGCTTTAAAGATAATAAAAATACATTTTGGCTTTATTTCCACAAAGTTCAGCTCTCTGGAGGACAGTGACGAAGATCTGGAGAGTTTGCAAATTTATACTGAAGAGCGTTTGGAGCGAGTTGTTATGTGGAAGCCGAACCAGCAGCGAGAGGAGCCTGAAGACTTACACCTCTACACATTTGGCTGGACTCTAACCTGTGTGTGTTTCTGTGATATATATACACTCTCCCACCCACATCCACTTCAAACTCTTTAAGTGAAATCAAGGTCTGGTTTACTCACAACCTTCTTAAACTTAATGGCAATAAAACAGAATTAATTTTAATAGGCACCAGATCCAACTAGTCTTTCATTATCCATTGATAACTCTGTCACACCCTCCCCTCAGGTTAAGAGTCTTGGTGTCATCCTCGATAGCACTCTGTCCTTCAGAGCATATATAAAATAATATCACTCCGTCTTCCTACTTTCATCTCTGTAATATTAACGGCCTTCGTCCCTCACTCACTCCAAACAGTACCTCCATACTCATCAATGCTCTTGTCACATCTCGTCTGGATTACTGTAATTCTCCTCTCTGTGGTTTACCTCATAAATCCCTCCATAAATTGCAGTTAGTTCAAAACACAGCTGCTCGTATTATCTCCAGAACTAGATCCACTGAAGAAGAAAAAAAAAAACGGAGGGCAGGGATAGCTCAGTAGGTAGAGTGGTGGCCCCATGATCGGAAGGTTGGGGGTTCGACTCCACTGAACGATTACCCTGAGTTACCCCTGAGCAAGGTACCATCCCTACACACTGCTCCCCGGGCGCTGCATTGGTGGCTGCCCACTGCTTCACTGGGTGAATGGGTTAAATGCAGAGGAGCAATTTCCCTATGGGGACTAACACATACACATTATTATTAGAACAGCTGTTCTTAAACAGCTCCATTGGCTCCCAGTTCACCTCAAAGCGCTTCATAACCTCGCTCCTCCATATCTATCCGATCTTCTCCACACATACTCGCCCCACCGTACACTCCGCTCTTCTTCAGCTTCCCTTCTGTCTGTTCCACCTTGTGTTATTGTAAGGTGACCTTGAGGGTCTTAAAGGCGCCTATAAATAAAATGTATCATTATTATTATGACCGAGGAGCTCGGTGGAAGCTTGAGTTTACCTGCATACATCGTTCTCACTGTGTCACCTGTTGACCACCTGCTGCTGGTTTGCACACACTGACTGGTGATCGTCACAGTTTTGTACAAAAAAGGCAAATGTGCCTCATCGTTGATCAGCTCAGAGAGCTGGGCTGCTCGGAGCTTGTGTTTCCCTTCAGAGTGACTCTATTTAAAATGAATAGACGGGATTTAAGAGGAAGGAGCGAAGAACACCGAGCAGCAGATCAGGCATAATGGAAACAGGCCAAAAGTTTATTAAGGAACAAAATTGGAATAATTTGTTTCCAGCAGGCTGGATAAGTAAGTGCTGTTTATTTCAGTATGAAATTTGTTTCAAAATTGCTAAAATAACTCTCTCTGAATGGCCTGAATTCATTTATTGAATAAACTTTTTTTCTTTTTATCTAAAATAGACTTACAAAGCAATGGAAACACTTGTATATTCCTCATTTCTCTGTATGTATTATTGCAGAGTCTACCTTACAACATAAAGCAGCTTGAGGCAACTGTTGTTGTGATTTGGCGAATAAGAATAAGAGAAGGAGATATTAATAAGTGAGGAGATGGGACGGAGCGGGGTGTGATAATGAGGGAAAAGTGAAGGGAGGAAGACAGAGCGATGGAGGGAGTGAGGTAGATGAGAATTGGTGGAGGGAGTAATAGAAGACAAGAAGAAAGGGAATTACTTCAGGGAGGGAGTCAGGGAACAAAATATGGAACAAGAGGAGATACTCTGCAGGTCTTATGTGTGAGACTTGCAGTAGTTAAAAAAACACTACTTCAGATATCAATTTATAATGATTTTAGAGATTTTAAAGTTGTCTTATGCTACCTGCTCCACGCTGTCTATTTATTATTATCATCATCAGGAGCATCCCTTTGCATCGTGGATGTGCAGCCGAGGCAGCAATCTACAGTTAATGCACAAACACACTACGGGTTCATCCCCCGAGTTTGCTGACGTTTTTATGCTTGAATGATTCTCAGGTAATTGGTAAATG